TTGTGGTTTTCTTTTCAGAGAAGCCTGCTCAGTCCCAGAAAAACAGTCCATCACAGAGGTATTAGTCAGTAAAAGATTTTCAGTTCTTCTTCTGTGGAACAACTCTTCAGTCCCTTGTAGGACTGTATTCCTGTCAAAATCCTCTACTTTCTCCATCTCTCTTCCTTGCAAACTATACCTCTTTTCTTTCATGCCCTGGAACCCCTTGTACTCCACCGGGCACACCCATACACAATAAGTCTTCCCTTTACCAGGAGGAAACCTGTCTCGTCCCTACTCTGGGACTCCTGGCACACTCAGTTATCTGCTGATATTAGAACAAAAGTTGGTGACTCCTTTACTTTAACTAAACTCCCTACAGTTCATTCTTTGCCTCACATGCACTCTGAACTGTAGGAGCTTAGACACGACAGTACTCAAGGGTAGAGGCTGACTCCCGTTATAAAGACTCCTGCTACTCCTGACAAAAGTCCCATTAAGCACACGGACAATCAGATGCTTTTCTGCCTGTGGAATTCCATTCTGTTTCCACAGGAGTCCAATTAGTCGATCAAGGCAGGTGTGTCCAATTTACTCCCAAGAAGGAAAAGGCTTTAAAGGGGAACTGCCGTCCCAATTTCACAGAGGTTATTAACTCTCGGTTACAAAACAAATTAATTGAGAGTATCGCAAGCTTTTACAAATGTCAAATTAAACACAACATCCTGAACTTTGTGAAAGCACTGTATGGTCTCCATTTTGGCATGAACTGCTGGTCTCACCACAGGAAAGAGCAAGAGTTTCTGCAAAATGCGATGTGATGTGGCCCTTCCTGCTCACCGACTCCGTGATGATGAATGTGATATGAGCTACAGTACAAGCGAATAAGTAAAAGCTGTGCAGCAGAAATTATCTGCATGCAGTTAGCAAGTAGTATTTGGCTGTAAAATCGCCTCAACGTCTAGAGCAATATTTCTATGGGATTAAAAGAGATGTATTGACAAGCCTGCTTGTTTACAATGTAACTGGGCCTTTTCATGTCATTGGAAGTTTTGTTGCCTTATTCTGAGTTGCAGAATACGGCGCTGTGTGTACCTGGACATTTTTGCTATTTTGTGATGTAAAGTGGAGGTTTTACATGTTACTGTGCACATTTTACTTTCCATCCGGTTTGAAATGCACTCATCAATGCCGATTCTTTCTAACCGCCACATATAAATAAAAATAGAGTTACAGTTCCAATTTAACTAGCCTCAGCTTGCTCCATCACAGAAACAAGAGTACCAGCTACAGCAATATAGCTGGATATTGTTACATTCCACATTCCTCCTCTAGAGGGCGCTCCTACCCATTTCTCATATTGATTCAGTTCCATGATTCCCTGGTGTGTCTTGTTAGTGTTTCCCTTCTTGGTGATTTAAACTGTCTTTGTCCCAGATGGATCTCCCGGTTTATGGAATATGGACTGTGCCCTGACAACCCTTTTGGACCTCCCTGAACTTGGTTGCTTCTGCTTTTCCCCCGAGCACCGGCTCACTACAGTCACTGCCCCCTGTCTGTCAACCTGCCCGGACCCTGCTGTGTCTTCCCCTGATGTCCTTCTCCAGACTCTTCCGGATTATACCATTACGCATAGGGTCTTTAACAACACACGTCACGGGACTCAGAACCGATATCTTGTTCCATACTCCCACACTTGGCCCAAAGCAGTGCCTCCTGTCCTCAGTTTTCACTTCCCTAAAGTTGCCGCTTGTGGACCCTGGCTAGTGTGGCAGTGTTGGTTCTGAAGCCATCCTCCAAACTGACTTAGTCAATGTCATTGCACCAGGAAGACATGTATCAGGTCTGCTCGTAGTCTTCTTCGTTAAAGACAAAAAAAGACTCAGTAAAATTTCTGCAGCTCAAGACAAAAAGACATTTTTTGTCTTTTTGTCAAGAGAAAAGACAACACAAATCTATGAACATGATAAAAAAATTATAAAATCAGAAGTAGATAGTTCAAAAGATAATGTAATTAGTAACAGAACATGAAAAAGAAATGGTAAACATCATTTAAACAGGTTTCTAAAATAGAATATGTTAGTAACGTCCTATGTTACAGAACTTTATCGGTATTTTGTTACTGGATTCCTACAGGGACCAGGTTAACTTAATAAATCACCACGGGCTGAATTTTCTGAACGAAGTGAGGGAAGTTATTTGTAGACCCAGAGTTCGGATACTTGCACTCTCATGTAAGATGGCAGCTACTGGAGAACTGAAGATGTAACACAAATTCACA